GATCCCATTCATAGGTGCCCGTCTCTCTCTATGCATTGTATAGGGAACCTGGGTGTCTCTAGCAGGGTCCTGGCCCTTTAAGGGAGGGTGAGAGCCCAGTTCCAGGGGTTGGGAAGAACTGAAGCAGGCACTGGGAGAGAGGAAGATGGTCCGGGGGAGCAGTCCGTGCCTGGGAAAAGGAAGGCACGGGGCCATCCCAGGCCGCTGTTCCTTTAAGGGCCAGGACTTGGTGCCTTGTAGGGATAGGAGGGGGGGTGGAAGGCTTGGTTCGGCTCTGCTCTGCTCTCTCAGCTAGTGCACACAGTGGGTTGGGGTTATTAGACCCACCTGGGGAGGATCAAGTACGTGGTTAGGTGGCTGACTCAAAAGGAGGCTCCAAAGCTAGTGATTATAGTTGCTGGGATAAAGAAATCCCCCAGCACACAGACTCAGCAGGAGGGCTGTGAAACTCTGGCTTTGAGGGGTGAGTTACAGGTGGGGGACCCCAGAAATTAGAGCCATTGTCCCTGGAAGGAGGGCTGTGAAACTCTGAATTTAAGGGGAAAGGGCAAAGAGGCTCTTCTGGGAGCCAGGTGGTGTTTAAAAAAACCAGATCCCAAGAGAGGGGGAATATTACTTTAAAGACATTTTGCTGTAAGTTATTTCTGGGAACTCAGAGAGAAACTGAGGCAGGGTGTGTGTAGGGCACGAAGGGATGCCCTGGGATGGCACCAGTGTACAGTGCCTAACTCAGGCTTTGTGGATCCCAGTGATTTTCAAGGTGCCTAAAGTTGGCATTGTGATGCTCCGTGCTGCCTGGTATGGCTCACAACCAAGACTGTTGACCTCAGATGGTGTGTTCTAGCATTAGATTTCACCAAGCCAGCAATAAATGTGAACTCCTTAAGGGTTAATACTTACTAACATATGCACCCTGTTGCTATTGTTGACTAATCATAGCAACACCTGCCTGTCACTCAGGCCCATAACATGGGTGTCATCTTTGGCTTAGGCCTCTCTCTAGGTGCTCCCATCCAGGCTACAGCTAAGTCATGCAGATTCTCTCTGCACAAACGTCTCTAAGATACGGCCTTTGCTGGCCATCCACACAGCAAAAGCTCTCATTCAGGCAACACCCTTTTCTTAGGCCTTAACAAATGCAGTCTACCTCAGGAACATGTTATGTATGTTAAACACACCTTAGCACCGAGTGGCGACAGCAATACATAATGTTTAAATATGTGACTAACTGTCCCTCTTAGGCTGCCCAGGATTAGGTAACCTGTTCTAAACACTGCAGTCATTGGTCACAGAGGGTCAAATGGGGTTTCACATCATACTTGTCATTCGTATTACTTACCAAGATTTTGTGCACACCTTTTCTAACAGGATAAGTTTTTCCAGTGTAGACACGGCCTAAGGTGACATAGTTTACTCCTAAATGACATCAGAACCATTTAGATCTACTTCCTGTGTCACTCCCCTCTTACATATCATCCCTGCATTTGTCCCGGGAGCGCTCAAATCTTTATGATCCTTTATAATACAGTAGCACCTAGAGACCCCACCAGAGATCAAGGACCCATTGTGATCAGGGCTGTTACAGACAATCAAGTCAGCGTCAACACAGGTTAATAGATTCCAAGGCCAGAAGGGACCACTGTGATCACCTACTCATTTGAACTTGAGCAGAGCTTTTAGAAAAACTTCCAATCTTGATTTTAAAATGGCCAGTGATGGAGAATCCACTGTGACCCTTGGTAAATTGTTCCAGTGGTTAATTACTCTCCCCGTTAAAGTGAATCTTATTTCTCATCTATATTTGTCTGGCTTCAACTTCCAGCGATTGGACTGTTAGACCTTTCTCTACTAGATTTAGAGCCTGTTACCAAATATTTGTTCCCGTATAGGTACTTACAGATTGAGCTTCTTGAGTCTAACAAAAAGAAGTCTATAGGGTGACTTGATCACAATCTAATGTAATTTATCACCAGAAGGCATGTTTTTTACTCCTTTAATCAATCTCATGGCTCTTCTCTGAACCTCTCTCCAGTTTATCAACACTCTTCTTGAATTTCAGAGTAGCAGCTGTGTTAGTCTGAATCCGCAAAAAGAACAGGAGTACTTGTGGCACCTTAGAGACTAACAAATTTATAGGAGCATAAGCTTTCATGGGCTACAGCCCACTTCATCGGATGCATTAAATGGAATTGTGGGCACCAGAACTGGACACACTATTCCAGCAGCGGTCTCACCAGTGCCAAATACAGAGGCAATATAATCTCTTTACTCCTATTTGTTATTCCCATTTATGCATCCAAGGTTTGGCCACAGAGTTTCACTGGGAGTTCATGTTCGGCTGATTATTCGCTGTGACCCTCAAATCTTTTTCTGAGTCGCTGCTTCCCAGAAGAGAGTCCCCCATCCTGTAAGTATCGCTGACGTTCTTTGTTCCTAGATATATACACTAACTGTTAGCCATATTAAAATGCATATTGTTTGCTTGCGCCCAGCTTACTAAGACATCCAGATTGCTCCATATGATTGACCTGTCCATGTCATCATTTCACTCCCCCAATCTTTATATCATTTGCAAACTCTATCAGTGATGAGCTTGTTTTCTTCCAGGCCATTGACAAAAAAGTTAACATAGGATAGGGCCAAGAACAGGGCTCTATGAGACCTCACAAGAAACACACCCACCTGATTCCCTGTTTAGAGTTATATTTTGAGACCGAGCAGTTAGACAGTCTTTAACCCACTTAATGTGTGTCATGTTGATTCTGTATTACTTATTTTTTTAAATAAAAATGTCTTACCATCCAAGTCAAATGCTTTACAGAAGTCTAAGCACATTACATCAATACTATTACCTTTATCAACCAAACTTGTAATCTCATCAAAAAGTTAGTTTTACAGCATCTATTTTTCATAAACCCATATTGATTGGCATTATATTAGCCTCCTTTAATTCTTTATTTATTGATTCTTGTATCAGCCACTCCATTATATTGCCCAGGATCTATGTCAGAGTGACAGACCTATAGTTACCCAGGTCATCCTGTTTACAATTTTTTAAATATTGGCCCAACTTTAGTTCTCCTCCAGTTTTCTAGAACTTCTTTAGTGTTCCAAAAGTTATTAAAATCAACCTTAATAATCCAGCAAGCTCCTTGGCCAGCTCTTTTAAAACTCATATGGAAATTATCGGGACCTGACAAGACAAACTCGGGCTGGGGAAAAACAGAGGCACAGAGAAGCAAAGTGATTTGCCCAAGCAGAGCCAGGAATAGACCCCGTCTCCAGACTTGCCCTGTACATTACTGCTCAGGGCTATTTGCTGTCAGAGTTCATTAGGGAGGAAAATAGGTGGAGATAAGCAAAGCTAGATCATCATTCCACTTACTCACATCACCCAATTGCTAAGACAGGTAGAATAGATTGGCCTGAGGAGAAAGGTCAGTGCATTAATCCCCATACACCATTCAACCCCATGGCACAAAGGACTCCTCTTTGAAAATTGTTCCTAAACCAGATGGAAAAATGCCACTGCCTTTTGAACACAGTGCATGCCATAGTAAGAGTTTTGTCAAATTCTGCAGAGCACTGGGCAATTTCATTAGAGTACAGCATTCTGCACAGTAAGGCCCCTCTGGGCTTCCAGTATCCCATGCACACATGCCCCAATTCAGCAGTATCATCTGCCAAAGCAGCTGAGCAGTAAGCCGCACAGAGCAGTGAGCTGGAAAGGGGTGGGTGACACTGGCTTGCTGGAAAGTTTTTATTGCAGAGCTGTGGACTTTCTTTTTTGAAAAGCACCATTAACACTAGGCTCCACAGAACAGGCAATTATATATTTATGAACAGCAGTAATTAGAAAAGAAAATTTAATCTTTTTGGCTACTTAGAGAATTACAAAAAAGACAATAGCGTCATTTTATGGCTCAGGAGCTCTGACCCGTAGCTATTTCAGACTCCCCTAGTGCTGGGAGAGAAATAACAGAACTAATTTCAGTTGCATAGATTACAGGACAGTTGTGAAGGAGATTGAGAAATGCTGTTCAGCTCTGCAGGAAAAAGCACAGAAAAAAAGGAAATGAGGGATTGGAGCCTTTGGAATGGACCCTGAGAACAGAGTGCAGGAGTGTGGACTAAAGACCTAGATCCTTGAAGGCATTTAGGGGCCTAACCTCCACTGAAATCAATGGGAATTGGGCCTCTAAATACCTTTTGAGGATCTGGACCTAAATTAGCAAAGTCAAACGCTATTCTCCTATTCAAAGGCCAGGTTAATGGGCCATGTGCAAGGGACCTCCCAACGCTGGGCACCAGAATCCTCCCCTGAGGCCTGGCAATGACAGGGAAGGACATCCGTGCTACATCTCCTGTGGTGACGTCTGGCCAGTGGAACAATGCAGTATGTAGACCCCCAACCCTTCTGTGGAGAGGGGCACTGAGGAGCAGAGTGGTATTAGTGAAGCCCGCACTGCAGGTGTTGTGCTAGTCTGTAATCAATTCAGCATTCAGCGCCCTGCGCTGTGTATCCCACAGAGTGGGTACCCATGTGGCACCAGGGCTGACATCGCACTTGGAAGAACATATGATTATATTAAGTCAGCCCCTCACTCCATTGGGTGGTATCCCTGGCACAATGTAGAAGAACACAACTGCTGCCTTGAGCTCTGTGTTAGAGGAGACGAAGAGCCTCAGCTTTTTTCCAGCCAGACAATTAGAGTGAGTTGCAGCACTTGGTTTTAAAGCAGGATTCTCTGCTCCAACCCTGAGAACGGATCAAAGCAGCTCAGCACTATAAAGATGTAATAGGTGCATGCGATATTTGCAACAACAGGGTTAGCTATTTATATAGTCAAGTTAATAGGGCAGAGCTGAAGCTGCCTGGATCCTCTCCCCTTCACAGGTGCAGAGTGAGGTTAGTATGTGTGATGCTTAACAGAATCACTTTGATCACCTCTATTCCAAGTACCCTTAATAGCACCAGACATGATTTGACAGACTCCATCTAATAGGGACAGCATTTTATTTAGCATTTAACAGTTCTGTACACTTTTAAGAAGTTCAGTCTTGTCAGTAAAGAACAATTCCACCCTCCTATCTAAGCAGATCTCCCAGCAAACATCCCCAGCTTGTTTCTGTCTCAATTGCTACCACGGTCAGAACACCTGGGCTATCTTTCTCTGCACTAGTTGTAAATTTTTCTTAGCTGCTTTGAAGACTGAAGGAGTGAGTGGTGATGGAAAGCAGAGAAATTTCAGCATACAGGAGAGAGTCATTTACCACCCGGAATCTTGAATTTAGGCTCAGTTGCAACAAGATAACATTTGGAGTTACCCCTTTGACTGGGTAAGAAGCTGCCGACTAAGAAATGGTAGGAGTTGAAAATAAACTAACACTTTGACACTGAGCTTCAAAAACTGCACCAAAAATTTAAGAGTTAGTGATTCTTTTTAGCACGTCTGTTCAGAAGTCTGTTTTTGTGAAACCTCATCTTTATTTGCAGAAGTTGCTTTCCGTCTCCTCCCACTCTTGAAGGCATGGCATAAACCCTTGCTGCGATACTACACTCCCAGAGAGGCAGAGGAAAGGAACTATAGGGCTTTGCCCAAGCATTACTCTGATTAAAGCCACTCTTGGAACAAACCTAATAGCAATGGTATTTGTAGCTGCTGGGCAGGTCTCTCCTCCACTCCATTTCATCAGCACAAGCAGAGTTATCTTTCTCCTCCCTTCTTCACCGGTTGCTTTACCCCCGCTCACCTTTGTTTTCTGACTCCCTTGTGAGTCCTAGGGGAGCACCGAGTTAGACTGCATGGATTCAGCTATGTGAGTTATGAGCATTATAGAACCTGTCGTGTGGGATGAAAGCATGCTGCAAGATTTGCTCGGCAGCTCCCAACACCGGCCTGGCATGCACAGCCAAGGGGGATGTCATGTGTTGCAAGAGTTAGTTTCTTCCTATGGTCAGTACTGCCCGCTCCCAGTCCACCCCAGGTAAAGTGCAGCAGGCTACAGAGAGGATTTTACTGTCGCCTGAAGTGCGTGTGGGCAGAACTGGTGCTGCCAGTCTGGTTCCATTTCTGTGAGCCCAGAAAGTGGCTGCTTTGGAGAATTCTGCAATGGGCACTATCGCTCTTCCAGAAGCTCCTTCTTCTGTAAGGCTTGGAGTCTCTTCCCCACTGTTTGGTGGATGATTTCCAGGCCCTCTGTGTCCAGCTCTTTCATGAGCAGCAGGATAGCATTGAGGATGTTGTTCTGTCAAGACATGACAGACGTTATTTCTACTATAGATGTACGGACTCTGACCCAGCAAGGTGATGGGTCATTTAGGGGCTGGTTTTCAAAGGTTACTAGATAGTGTTTTTCACCCTTCTAGATTCTCTACTCCTCTGCCTGATTATAGGAAGACAGTGCCCTTCTACTGAGAAGGCCACTCCCTATGGGTGCCGAATCCAAGGCCTGCGGAATAGACACCTGCAGCTCTGTGGACAAGTACCGCAGCTGGCTGCAGGGGGAGAAACAAAATAGACCAAGACTGGTCTAGACCACATTCTGACCTTCCTTTATTCACTGAGGTGATGGCGGTGGGCCCAAGCCACACTCCAAGTCCCATCCAGGCCAGATACACGTTCTGTGAAACTTACTCCCATAGAGTAGCATTGCCACACACTGGCCACAGCTGCTGAGAGGAGAATCAAGGCCATATTTTCTATAGGAAAGATGGCTATTAAATTGGTAGTAGAGATTAACCTATGATTATCTGATGGGATCAATCCTGACCCCTTTTCTTATTAAAGGCATTACAGTATCATAGATTCACAGGCTAATCTCCACTGTATGCTCCCCAACACCTAAGGATGGATCTCAGGGACTAGCTAGCCACTTAGCTCAACAGTGCTTCTGCCACAAATAAACAGCCTGCAAGACACTTACCCCAAAGGCACGTGACCAGCACCCACTTCCCACCCGGAAAGTTCTGTGCAGCTTTGGGTGCACCCAAATCTGGTAGTATAAAGTTGTACATTTTCTGGATCCAGAGATTTATTCTTTAAACTTGCCTGACACATTAGAAGGTAGCAACTTTAGTCTTTAAATACACTCACCCTCTTCTTCCTGCTGCCATCAGTCTCCCTGGGCAAAAAGGAGGAAAATTTATCTCTGGGAACAGGCTTCATGCCAAGTTGCTCTCGAATCTTGCTGTGGGGGGGGGGGGAAAAAGGCAGTACACAAAATGAGAGCACCCAACGCCAGAAGGAGCCTGCTCCCAGCACTGTCTGGAATGACAGAATCCAATTCTCAGTGCTGGAACTACAGGAGTGATGCTAACTGGGACCACAGAGCTGAGTCTACATCGCACATTTGGATAACAGGTGGCACATTTAAAAAGGATAAGTGAGAAGAACCATAATTCAATATGAAGATCCCTTCCCTTTCACGCACACACATAGCTGTTGTACTGCAAAACAGGAAGCAACCTATGGAAGGACCTACTCTGTATGCACAAGGCCAGGTTCTGAGCTGGTGTAAAATCAGCATAGCTCCATTGTCTTCAGTGGTGCTATGTGGATTTGATCAGCTGCGGCTGTGGCCCATGGTATGTTGGGGTTGGTTGTCAGGAGTATTTTTGGAAGGATCCCCCCATGTGACATACAAGTTTAGCAAAGGAATCCCAACAATTAATAACCGAGCCCTCACTTTGTCTCCTCCAGGGTGAAATTCAGATGTTCACTCTTTGGCTCCATTGTGCACTCAGTGGTACTCGATTCATTGGCCTCTGGACAGCCGTTCTCCAGATTTCGCTTAGCTGGAGGTGCAGTGATCTCTTCCCCATCTACCAGGGCCTGTGACAATTCTTCTTCTGTCACAGCTTCCAAAAACATACAAGCATATGTTAGAAGCCCAGTCTGATGCTCTAGGGAATTCTATCAACATGGAAAACAGACCATCGTTCTAATTTGGAATATATTACTGCAACAAGTAGTGTAACAAACTACAGACGAGACAGCAGGTACAGTCAGATTGTACGAGAGCAGGGACATAAGGGATACCCCATAACTATCAGCGGTCCTCATTTCCCACTTTGTTCTGCAGCAAAGCCTAAGGGGGAAGTCTCTGGCAGCCCTACCTCCTCCAAATAAAGAGGGATACTAAAGGAGAGGTTTCACAGAGGTCTCTTGGAGCCCTCCTCCTTTTTCCCAGCAGCAGGATCTGCAGATACTGTGGGATACATAAGCTCTTGTTTTGACAGCAGAAAGTTCTTTTACCAAACAGAACGACATGTCCTACTTTCTTTGACAGTAGGAGCAGAGCCAGCTACAGCATCTGCGTTTTGCAAGAACAAACGAGAGTCCCGTAACAAACTAACTGGTGGCACAGTATCTGAGATAATGACTGTGAAGATATTGGTCATACATTCCCTGTGTGGTATTGTTAACTACTGCTGTACGGAGAGGGTAAAGGATAGGACAGTTTGAAAACACTGGCTGACAACATAGGCAGATCTACCTGCACCATTCTGCACAGAGCACTGCTGAGTGGGTTACTGTTGTGCTGTCTTAGCCCACACAAGAGCCAAGAGAGAGAGTTTTATTACGTAAAGTATTCAGCTGTTCTAGGGTGTGTACGTTGAATTTCCAACAAACCCAAACAAGACTCCCTAAGGGTCGGGGCAGTTCAGAACCCTGGTTTTTCTGAAGCTTTCTGCCACTGACTCTGTTCTCAGATTCCCACCTTGGTTGTCAAGCTTCTGAAGGTTGGGGAGGTTACGCAGCACAGTCATTCTGTACCGGTGGGGGTCTGGACCACAACAGGGATTCTCAGACAACCACAGGACCCTCAGCCGGGGCAGGTTTTTCAGATGAAAGAGCTCGTTCAGACTCGGGATGCTGTTCTTCCTCAGATAGAGCTCACTCAGGTTCTGGCACTGACTCATTGGCTCCAGGCTGGAGATACTGTTCACACTAGACAGAGATTACACGGACATCAGAAATGAGTCTCTGGCCCTAAAAATTACCAGCTCCACCCTCAATATGACTTTCAGGCAGAAGCAGGACCCCTGCAACACTGCAGCTCTTCAGTCCCAGTTTCTGTATCGTTCCTATGGTGGGAGCCTGAAAGCCTCCTCCAAGATGGTGCAGTGCATTCTGGGTGCCCAGCTGCCAAACACAAATAGGTTGAGATAGCATTTGGTAACAAAAAACACTGACCAGAGAGAGGCCAATTGTGCTACTTTTAGGGCCCTAAAAATACTATCCAGCAGTCAGCTGGCAGAAACAGGTTTACATAAACATAGCCAGCTTGCTTTGCCCTTCTGAATGCTCCACTTCATCACACTGCCTCTGGAACTCCTCCCCTCCTCTCCATCCAGTATTTTTCTTTTAATTTTAGCACTGTCACTCACATCTCTTGGTCTTGAAAAGACATTTTTGCTGAGACAGCACTCCTGGGCATGGAGGCTCAGATGGGCCCCACAGGCTCCTGCTGCCAAGGGACAGCTCAGTGGGAAAGAGAAAAGCAGTTTCCAAGAAGGATCTATATTCATCCTGCTCTTATTTCTCTTTATAACTTCTCCCCTGAGCCATGGCAGCAGGCATCTTCAATGCATGGAATGCTTCAGGACCCAAGCACTAACTGGGGTGGCTATGGAGCTATGCAGACACTCCAAGGCAGTAGTGGGCACCGTGTGGCCCTTCAGGGTAATCCACTGGTGGGCTGTGAGACAGTGTGTTTACACTGACTGTCTACAGGCATGGCCACCCGCAGCTCCCAGTGGCCATGGTTTGCCGTTCCCAGCCAATGGGAGCTGCAGGAAGCAGCATGGGCCACAGGGACATGCTGGCCGCCGCCGCTTCCCGCAGCTCCCATTGGCCGGGAACGGCAAACCATGGCCACTGGGAGCTGCGGGCAGCCGTGCCTGCGGATGGTCAGTGTAAATAAACGGTCTTGCCGCCCACCAGTGAATTACCCTGATGGGCCACGTGCGGCCCGTGGGCTACAGGTTGCCCACCACTGCTCCAAGGTATGGCTGAGACCCAAAGGCAGGGGCTAATTTGGCAGGAGCCAGAGACCTGTTTTGCAGGAGAAGGCAGGTATGTCAGTGGGAGAGGGGGAAAGCAACAATAAGCAGCTAATGTTAATGACACACTTTGAATTAAAATGCCAAGAGGTTTTTCTTTTTTAAATAGCGAAAGGGGCTCAGGGTTACAGAGATGAGCAGATTCCTGGCTCTTTGCTAATTCTGTAAACAGCTCTTGCTCACTACAACCATTTATTGGCTGTTATATCCTCTTTCTGCAGACGCTCCTCATACACACCCAAGAGCAGGTCTTGCATGCTCCACAAACCAAATGGCTTTAAGGTTAAGATTTTAGAAGCTTCACAGATTTTTCAGTATAGTTTGCAAGATCTATATTCCAAGATGCCATAAGAAGCTAAGAAAGAATCCAGAAGAACTTCAACACAAACATTCTCCAACCTGGTACAAGTTTCATGACACTGTGTGGGGCCAGCAGACCTACAGAACCCAGTCAGGAACATGGAATAGCATTTATGTATAAGGGAGAATGTGACGTTGCACTCCATATGTTTATGGAAATATCCTTATGAATGTGAATATAATGTAACTGGAATATGCTTTATGCAAAAGGTCTCTTGTAAGGTATCATTACAAAGCTTATAATCTACTGAGTGTGTTCAACCTATTTGTATGAATGTATCATTCCTGTATCTGAAGCTAGAAATATGAAGTATTACTCTGAAGTCCTATTGTAATTATGCAAAGTGTGGGCCATTAATGGTGGCTTGGAATCTTGATGGCTCCCATGGACTAGGACAATTGGTTGTGAATGGCTCTGTTTACTCACAAACCTTCCTGGGGACTTGCAGGCCAGCCCTGGAAGAATGATGGCTAGGGTCTCACAGGACATGTGACCATGTCACATGCTACTGGATTCCATCTTAAATCTGGTGCTTTTTCATTTAGGAGGGGTGGGGACCCAGAGAGAGACAAAAGATTCCTGCCTTGGGCCAAAGATATAAAACGGGGTGGAACAGAACAAAAGTGGCTGCCAGTCATGAGAAATCCCCTAGTTACCACCAGAGCTGGAAATAACAAGGAATGTACCGGGAAAAGGACCGGGCCCAGACTAGGAAGGAGTCTAGCCTGTGAAAGAAGCTTATTGGAATATCTCTGAAGGTGAGATATTACTTGTATCAGTTTCTTAATGTATTAGGCTTAGACTTGCGTGTTTTTGCTTTGTTTACTTGGTGACTTACTTTGTTCTGTTATTACTTGAAACCACTTAAATCCTACTTTTTATATTTAATAAAATCATTTTTGTTTATTAATTAACCCAGAGTAAGTGATTAATACCTGGGGGAGCAAACAGCTGGTCATATCTTTCTATCAGTGTTATAGGGGGCGGACAATTTGAGTTTACCCTGTATAAGCTTTATACTGAATAAAACGGATTTATTTGGGGTTTGGATCCCATTGGGAGCTGGGTGTCTGGGTGCTGGAGATAGGCGACTTGCTAAGCAGTTTTTGGTTAAAGTCTCCAGCTTTGGGGCGTGGACCAGACCTGGGTGTGTGTTGCAGAAGGCTAGTGTGTCGGGCTCAACAAGGTGGGGTTCTGAAGTCCCAAGTTGGCAGGGAAAACTGGCTCAAAGGTAATCTCAGCACATCAGGTGACAGTCCAAGGGGGTCTCTGTGACCGAACCCGTCACAGAGAATATGAAGTTTTACACTGCACCTCAGAGTTATTTTTCCCCCAAAATGAACACCCCCCATTCCCCACCAATACAGAATGCAGGTTTACATAATGCCAGGAGAGACTCAGATAGCCTTGGAAATAAATGCACTCTGCATCTCTGTCCCCAAGGGAACACAGCCTGACTCAGTACTGGAGATCAGGCAGACAGAGGCACGGTCACAAGGTCAGTAAGGAGTAAAGTACCAAAAGCATAGTGCTAGATTGTAGTCATCTGCCCGACACAGGATTTCCTCTGTTCTATCAGCTGCTGCTCTCAGGCTGCTAGTTTGACACCCACCTGAATGTGATCACTTCAATGTTTGGTAGTTCACGGCATATTGAAATCTAGACAGAGAAAGATGCAATAAAGAACTGTACTTTTTCTAAAGATATCTGTCTATAATCAGGTGCTTATTCAGATAAACCCATTAGAATATCAAATCAACTAGCACGTTAGTGGGGCTAAGTCAATGTCAGTCTAACCTAATTGTACACAGGGGGAGTTTCCTGGACCCAGCCACTCCCCTTTTTCAGTCCCCAAGCACAGTGTAGCCAGTATCTATTCCATTTTCTTCCACCATGCCCAGAAACACAGATAATCAGACACTCATTGTGCATGGAAAATAAGACCTGGTTCTGTTCCTCTCCTCCAAATGCTCAGAACATGTGACAAGTGCTCACTGTACTGGTACACTTTTGGTGCTGTAAGATCCCCAACCAATACACATACAAAGGGCTCAGCTCTCCTCACACATGACCTTCCCAACTAAGAAGAGGATCTGTACCCTCAGAGTATGTCAGGTGGGAGGTTCTCCTGTAGACAGACACGCACTAGCTCTGCTCGAGCTAGCATGCTAAAAATAGCAATGTGGCTCTGCTGGCCTGGGCTAGCCACCCAAAGGCAACCCAGCACATTGGATGGGTTTGTACTCGGGCTGCTAGCTTGAGTCACTGTGGCCACACTGCTATTTTTAGTGAGCTAGCTCAAGCAGAGCTAACACATGTGTGTCTACCCATGCTAGGAAGCATGCTCCCAGCTGCAGTGTAGATGTACCCTAAATCAGTCCCCAAGATCTCACAGCCGCAGAGAGGTGTAAGACTAGCAAGCTTTCTTACTCCCAAGCACTCCAAAGGGATACTTGGCTCCCTCTATTCCCAAGTGAGGCAGCAATTTGCTATGCACTGTATCAATGGCCAGTGCTCTACCGTTGGGACTAACTGCCAACAAAAGGGGCCTAGATCTCAAGGAACGTGTCTTAATCATACCTGGCTTTAGGGAAACGTTAGATATTTGTTTGGGAAAGGGGTCTTGGAAAAGGCTGATTTTAAGAATAGTACTTACATCTGTGAGGCAGCTGCCCCTGCAAGAGAAAAATAAACCACTTTGAATAGTGACAAGAAAGCAGAGAATTAATTTAGAAATATTTTAAAAAGAGGACTTACACCGAGTGAAAAGATGCAATGTATGGAAAAAGCCATGGCTGAGGTCAATAGTGTGTTTTTAAAAATCTACGTTATCTTAAAGAACTGGATTCTCAGAAGTGTCTTTTCATTTTTTTGAGCGACAGGGGTTGCCAGGTATCAGAGCATGTCCTGTCCCTCCTCCCAACTCTGACCCTTAAGGAACCTTTGCCACCCCAACTGTCCTTCAACCACATAGGATGTAAGCTCAAATGGTGCTTTCTTCCATAAGGCACTAATTAAAGATTCTGCAACAGCCCAAATGGGGCATGACAGTTTTATGCAGCTGAGACTACAGGGGAAAGTGGAAGCAATAAAACTATGATTCCCCACACTCAGTAGATACTCCATCTCCTTATGAGCATACCACGTGGCTGGAAGGTAAATGCACTCCTTCCCAACTGCTAAGACAATTCAGAACCATCTGTCATGTCAGCAAGTGTGAACCCTGCCTGCTCTGACCATACAGCCATGTTTAAACTGTTTTCTGTAGATCATTTTATAATACAGTTTGATCAGCTGATGTGGATAGGACCAAGCTGCATTCATCATGATTTGGTCCTATCCTCAGCAGCTGGCCAGAGTTCAGTGGGGACTGTGTTTAATTACTGTTAAGAGATCAATGTAGGAGGCACTTTTCCCCTCCTCCCCCACATACAATAACAACTGGGCAGCATGCATGGAACCGAGTATGAGTTTCATTTCATGTGTGGGATAATTGCACCAGCTAAGGCAACACTAAATACAGACATAGAAACCCAAGAATTCTAAATGCAAAACTCCATGTTTAACTCTTAATCTTTAAAAATTGTATTAAATACCCAAAGTCAGGAAAATTTAAAGTTAAGGTTTAATTCTCTCAGCAATGTTGATTCAGCCACATTGTCAGCCAAAGGTAGCATTTCTTGATTACTCACTGTGCTGTTATGCTGGGAATTTAATACATTTAAAAAACCTCAAAGGCAATTTGTCCAAGGAAAATCTGGGTCTCAGATTTGAGAGTCTGACAAACTATGATTGTCCCAAATAAGACCTGCCCTCATACGTAATTCTGCACTTTCAGGAGAACACATGCACTCTCTCCACAGTACAGAATAGGATGCAATTGGTCTAGTAGAGCCAGAGGAGAATTTTCACTGCCTTGCTCACATTTTGCTAAAGATTAATTTTTCTGTCATTGGTTGAATTTAAACAAAAATAAGCAACACACACCTCATCCTCTGTTTTAAGTTACCAGGCGGTCAATGCACCCAGGATTATTTAATTACAGAACAGCAGTTAGTTTCAGTGACAGTAAATCCTTTCATTTCACATATTTGATTTGAGCTTTTGCTTATCCGGCACTGGTAAGCAACAGTTTCCCTAGACTGACTGTTGTGTGTCTCTTTAGACAGCATAGGAACATGGCTAACATTGCTATGGAATTTTTTTTAATTCACAGCTTCCTAATTCCAAGGCCAGAAGTGACCATTGTGATCCGCTACTCTGACCTCCTGTATAACACAGGTCACTGAACTTCACCCCAAAAATTCCTAGACCACAATTCTTTTACTCGTAAGCAACGACATACTCAAGCTTAAGACTGAATATATATAATTTATGGTGACAGAAGAGTATGATGCATTTATTGAACTATTCTATTGAAGATAAATAAGAATGCCAGTGTGAGCGAACGAAATGTGTATATCCTCCTGGGTCTGTACCCTATGAGGAAATAAATGCCAAACTGGGCTCAGTAACTACTGGTAGCCAGCCAAGCAAGCATGATCATTCCCATAATACCGATTGTATTACACATGTTTATCTTCAACATGTTTTACAAACATTGCCGGGTAAATGTTAGCCTCTTGGGTGCAAGGTCGCCCTGGGGAGAGAGGCTGGCTGGTCCATGGGAGGGGTTTGACAGCACTGGCAAGCGCGGGTTCTGAATGAGACCCCATTTGGTCAGGACACCGAATCACCCGCACCCCGGCAGAGAGCGCGCGTGGGGGGCTGGGGTTGCTGCGGGGCCTCTCCAATGCCCCACAGTAACCAGCCAGAGACACCCAGCTAATGGAGTCCGCTGGCTTCAGGGTCAGCCAACACACCACGAGGGGCAACGAACGGCCCTCCAACCCTCGGGCCCGGGCCCTCCCGCAGCCTGGTACCCCACCCCCCGCTCAGTCTATTGTCCCCATCCCATGGGCCCCTTCCCGAGTTACCCCGCTCCCCACAGCGGGGCCGAGCCGCCCGGCCCCTCACCAGCAGTTGAGCTTGCGGACGTTGTCCAGCTCGGCGGCCTTGGCGCGGGCCAGCACCGCCTTGCGCGTCAGCTTCATGGCCCCGGCCCGGCCGCGCCGCATCTCCAGGGGCGGGGGCAACGCGGCGGACGCGTCTCCAGGGGCGGGGCCCGGCGCGGCCGCCATCCCAACACCTCCCCGCTTCCGGCTCCAGGACAGGCGGCCGCCGTGCGGCCTGTAGTGCCCCGCCCCGTGACGGGGGCCGCAGAGGATCATACCGAACGCGGGCCAGAACCAGCGTCTCCAGGGGCGGGGCCAACGCTGCTAATCTCTAGGGGCGGGGCTACGGCTGCCTCCAAGGCGGGGGCTGCTGCGAGGCAGGGGTAGCAGTGTATGGGGTGCCCCCTCGTATAGCGGGGAGGGGCTGCCCGGTGCAGGGGGTGTTGGGGTGCCCCCTGTGAAGTTCCCCTGGTGTTATCGGTGATCTGCTAGGTCCCTCCAGTCCTCCACTCTGGGAGCCAGCCTTACCCTGCTGTGCTGTGAGAGCCCCCACTCCCGGGCTGCTCACACACAGCCTCTGGCATGTAAGTTGCTCCCAGGTATGTGGATGAGCACTTTTGGCCAGCCACTGCTTGGATTGTGCAACTGAATGACACTAGCCAATATCTCTGGTACCAGACTCAACCCTAGGAACCTCCATCTTGCCGTGGTCAGTTATCCCCTCTGGACGCTGCAAGCTTATATGAGTTTGTCAATTTAACAAAGAAATTGATACGTTCTAGGCTTGTTATCCCAAGGGGAGTCTCTGACACACTTCAAACCAAACACACTGCTTCAGGTAGAATAAACAGACAGATTTATTAACTCCAAAAGATAGATTTTAAGTCAAAACACAAGTCTGATTTGGTCAAATGAAATAAAAGCAAAACGCATTCTAAGCTGATCTTAATACTTTTAGTGCCCTTACAAATTTAGATGCTTCTCACCACAGGCTGGCTGGTTGCCCTTCAGCCAGGCTCTCCCCTTTGATCAGCGCTTCAGTTGCTTGGTGGTGGTGTCTGTAGATGCAGGTGGAAGAGAGAGAGCATGGAAAACGTCTCTCCCTTTTATCATGTTCTTTCTTCCCTCTTTGCTTTGCCCCCTAACCCTTTCTGAGTCATGTGAGCATTACCTCATTGTAGTCCTAAACTGACCAAGGGAAGGGGGGTGACTCACTTGAGAGTCCAACAGATCCTTTGTTGCTACCTTGGCCTTTGTTCCTGTGAGGCTGAGCTGGGTTTCATAGAATCATAGAATATCAGGGTTGGAAGAGACCTCTGGAGGTCATCTTGTCCAACCCCCTGCTCAAAGCAGGACCAATCCCCAGTTTTTGCCCCAGATCCCTAAATGGCCCCCTCAAGGATTGAACTCACAACCCTGGGTTTAGCAGGCCAATGCTCAAACCACTGAGCTATCCCTCCCCCCACACATACATGCCCTGATGAGATGTGAACTGCCCCTCTGCTTCTGGAGAGTTTTGCCTGGGCTTGTTTTAAGCCATGAGGACGCAGTTTCAGCCTCATACCTATATACATGAAATTACAACCTATAACATTACTATAACAGCAATGCTCAGTGCACCATGAGCCTTCCGAAGACATCCAACATGACAAACTTTTGCATGGATACCACAGAACCATTTTATAAAGATGAACAAGGGGGTGCAGGGTGTTTCCCCGAGGTACAGAATGTCACACTCCCATTATGGGGGGAGGGATTGCCTGGTGCAGGGGATGGAGGTGTTGGGGTGCCCCCATTATAGGGGAAAGGGGCGGCCCCAGTGCAGGGGATGGGGGTGTTTGGGTGCCCCTAGTACAGCGGGGAGGGGCTGCCCAGTGCAAAGGTGGTGGTGTATGGGATGCCCCCAGTACAGTGTGGAGGGGCTGCCTGGTTCAGGGTATCGAGGACCCCCACTATGTCCCTCCCCCCACTGTAGGGGGTGCTCCCCAGAAGCCTCGAGTTTGGAAAAATGAAGGTCACTGCTCAGTTCTGTATGAGAGTTTAGCAAAAGCAATTGTCAAACATCAGTGCAATTCTCACTGCTGTCAGCTGGCGTAAACAATGTTTACTGCAGGGCCTCACATCATATCTAAGCACTTAGCTAACTTCTATTCTGCTTTGTTTAACAGGGTGCAAGTGGACATCACAATTAACTGTAGCAGCAGTAGATGAATCTAATTATCTGGGATCATATATCTCCAGCCAAGGAGGCTGTTTGAAGGAAATCAGAAGACTAGGGATTGCTCACTCAGCTGTGACCTTCCTTAACAAACGTGGGGAAACTGTGGCATCTTATAATATGTGAAGGTGTGACTGATGCAAAGCCTAGTTTTTTCCATAGCTATTTATGGATGTGAATCACCAGAAGTTAGTGCTGCTGGCAAAAAGAAAATTGAAGCTTTTGAAATATGGTGCTGGTGAAGACTCTTGCATATTTCCTGGATGGAAGAAAAGACCAATGCCTATGTTGGAAATATTACTGGAGAGAAGCAGCTCCTGATGTCAGAAATCAAAAGATGCAAACTTACATACTTTAGTCATATTAGGCATATAGCTGGAAATAATTTTAAGAAAGTTATTATTGAAGGAATGGTGAAGCAACATAGTAGAGGACAACCGGCAAGGAGATGATGGATGGTGTGCAGCAAGGTCATTGCAAAGTTAGCTGTTGAGCGTTTGAAGTTAGCGATGGCTTGCAAAGGCTTCAGAAAATTGTGTTATGGTGTCACTGATATTCAGCCATGAATAAATGGATTTCACTTTGTTTCTCCCTGCTTGCCTAGTATATGATGTGTAAACTATAAAATAGCTATATTTCTCATATCTTAACTGCAATTCTTATTTTAGTGTCCCGTGCAAATGTAATAATTTGTACATATTGTATTTGTTTATAAAGCATTGATCAATATAATTTAAAATACCACTTCCAGCAGAGAGCGCCAAGGCACTCCACTCGCTAGCTGCCATGAATAGCACCTACCCTAATTCTAACCCTCTTCTTTCTACCTACGAGCCCTTTTATTTGTCCAGGTTTTTAAGGTCAGGCTTGACAAAGCCCTGTCTGGGATGATTTAGTTGAGGATTGGTCCTGCTTTGAGCAGGGGATTGGACTAGATGACCTCCTGAGGTCCCTTCCAACCCTGATATTCTATGATTCTATTATCTCAATTTACTACCTAAAACATGTTGAGGGAGTTTGTCGTAACTCCATGAAGCTGTAAGCTTCACACAGAATGGGGGGGCTGGCTTGACAGCCCTGTAGGCTGAAGTTTTCTGTTGATCTATAGAACAACGACAGCACAAGCAGCAGCAGTGTTGCAAGCTTCGCACAGAATGGGAAGGGAAAGCTGATCAGAGGAAAGTCCTGCTGGTAGCAGCGTACAGAGAGTTCTGATGGGTGGGAGAGGGTTTCTTTGGGAGCACAGGAAAAGCCAGCAAATTCAATTCCACTTTTCCCTTCAAAAAATGCAAGAACTTTTGAAATCTGCATATTCCTGTTTATTGAAGCAGTGCAGTCGCATGACCTCACAGCTCAGCCTGGAGGAGATGACTAGACCAGACACTCACTGCTAGCCCTGATAAAAGAAGATAATTAATATAAGACTCAGGCAGAAATAAGATTTGCCAAAGTGATCGTTTTCCAAATGCACTCTACAGATTCTGAGCTGAGCTGAGGGCTGTTCCTCCCAACTTTGTGCTTGATACCAAACTCTTCGTGTTGCTTCCTTTCGTTAGGACCCTGGATAACGCCCTTTCGGTTCTGGTATCTCTCATAATAGCCAACAGAGGCAGATTACTGATCACTTTGACCTTGGCTTTGCGTGACTTGGGTGTTTAGGAATAATGTACTTTCCATTTTTTCTAAAGTATGTTAAAAATAATTACACTTACATTTTCCTGTCCCTGAGCTGTAACGACTTCTCAAAACAATCTTATTGATGTTCACGTAGGGTCTGACCCAAAGTTAATTAAAGTCAGTGGAAAAACTCCTATGGGTATCAGTGATGTTTGGCTCAAACCTGTGGTGTTTCTGTTGTAGCTATTTTCTACATTTGAGGAGTGTGTTGATAACATGAGCAGACAAGTTCCTAGTTGTTCCTATTCTCTGCTAGTTTTTTCTTCAGGAACATATCAGGACTTCACTTCCCTAGGGTGAAGGAGACCTGTAGGCTAGTTTAGGACTGGGTTGCCTCTTGTCAGAGCGCGCGAGACTATCAGATTTTGGTGGGAGAGTTTGGGCTGAGCACTCTCAGACTCAGTTGTTCCCTTTAGATTAGGTCTGTGGTTTTAATGGGCACCCTTGTAAGGTCTGCCCAGCTTGCATGTGGCTGTTAATTGCACTATTCTTCTGTTACTGTTAATCTTATAAAATATTTACATGATGCAATATACCAGAACTTCAGTCAGAGACGACTCCCATGCCATCAGTGACCACACAGATCAGAGTGCTGCCAGGGAAGGGCCTTTAAATGGAAGAATGCGAAGGAGCGCTGTGGGGGACAGAGTCCATTCTAAGCATATTGAAATCTTTCAAGAAATTAAATCCTAGCCTGTAGCTCTCAGCCACTGAGAAGAATGGAAAAACACAGAAAAGAATGGAAAGCTTTCTATCCTGTGGGAAAGTATGACAGAGTCTACAAGTGGGTAGGGTCTGCTCTCCCTCTGATACTGGACTCCTACTGTCACAAACCAGGGAGTGGGCGGTCAGGCCTGGAGTCAGGTTCCCTCCCCACTCTGAACTCTAGGGTACAGATGTGGGGACCCGCATGAAAGACCCCCTAAGCTTATTTTTACCAGCTTAGGTTAAAAACTTTCCCAAGGTACAAAATTTCGCCTTGTCCAGGAACAGTATGCTACCATCACCAAGCGATTTAGACAAAGAACAGGGAAAGGACCACTTGGAGTTCCTATTTCCCCAAAATATCCCCCCAAGCCCTTACTCCCCCTTTCCTGGGGAGGCTTGAGAATAAACAAGATGAGCAAAAACCAGCCTTGGATTTTTAAGACCCAAAAAATCCAATCAGATTCTTAAAAAAACAGAACTTTATTAGAAGAACAACTCTGTAAGATCAGAATGGAAGATAATCTTACAGGCAGTCAGATTAAAAAAATAGAGAATCCCTGTAGGCAAAACCTTAAGTTACAAAAAGACACAGAACCGGGAATACACATTTCCTCCAGCACAGCAACTTT